CAGAACTCGCCCTCGCTTTGTTTCCTCCCACACCCTAATTATTATTGACGTGGGGCATTCAAGGGCTGAAGCCAGCCGCAGGGTCCTCCCAGGCCGTGACACTTCGCCCGACAGACTTTCACTTTAGCACTCTGAAAACGGCCACCTTCCGTCCCACCTCCTCCTCGTGGCAGCCCTTTAACTCCAGGGAGGCTTCGACTGCACCTAGCCCTAATTAAGAATGGCAACGGTATTGGGAGAAAGCCTTTAGAAAGGAAAATTGTGTCAACTAAGTTGGCAGGAGGATGAGCAGGCACCCTTTTGGACGCCGAGCCCCGAGCTGCAGTCATGTACATGGCCTCGGGCTACCCCTTTAACCTCGCTGAGACTCAGTTTCCTCATCTGCAAAATGCAAATAAGAACAGGAGCCTTTCCGAGACGTGGAAAGGATGGCAAGAGAGTTTCATGAGAAGCACCATGAATCATCCCATTGTCATACCTGTGGAGAGACCCTCAGTAACGAAGGCTTCAATGGGTTAAGAGAGAAGGTGGTAAAAGAAAACAGCCCATTTTGTCAGATTCTGTTACAACTGACTTTAGCGATTTAACTTGGAACTATCAAAGGTCTGCTTTTTAAACCTCTAATAGATCTAATTGAAATTTAAAAGGACATTTTCCATAGTTTCGTTCTATTTGCTAATTATCGATGATTCAATAATACAGTTAATTTTCAGGTCAATATTTTAACAGCTTTATTAAAATGTGATTAACATACAGTAACTGCACGCATACAAAGTGTACAAATTGAAGTCTTGACACATGTTATAACCAGTGAAATCATCATCACAATCCACAGACTGAACGCATCCAGTACCCCTCCTGCCCTCCGTAATCACTCCTGCCCCCAACCACTGATCTGCTTCCGGCCACATAGACTAGCTTGCATTTTCCGGAGTTTTATATCAGTGGAATCACACAGTAAGTACTGTTTTATGTCCGGCTTCTTTCCTTCATCATAATTATCGTGGGTTCATCTGCGTGCGTGTCAATAGCTTGTGTCCTTGTATTGCTTAGCAGTGTTCCATTGTATGGCTATAACATGGTTGTTTATCCCTTTACATTGTGATCTGAGGGACCAAAATAGATAGCTCTTCATCAGCTAGGAGGACCCAAAGATTAAGGAAACAAAGTTACCTACCGGTGGAGAGTTCTAGGCCTGGCTGGCATGGCAAATTTCTAAATCTGGATTGTAAGGATGGTTTCACTGGCTATACGTGTGTCAGAACCTCAGTGCTCCTCTCTCTCTCCGGCTTTGCTCTGTCACTGCTGGGGAAACACACGGAGAGCGTCACAGCCAGTCATGCCCAACACCAGCGGCCCCGGAACACTGCCCTGTAGTCGCTGGACAGCGTCCTCTCTCACTCCCCTTGACTATGCTCCCCAAGCCCCGAGCTGGCCCAAACCCAGGTCGAGCAGACGCCCTTGCTTCTGATGGTATGAAGAAAATAGAGGTGACAAGGCCGGATCTTCCCAGCTCCTGGTCCCTCTCCTAAAACACTTGTCTTCATTGGACCCTATCTTTCCTCCTGCTCTCTCTGTGATGGTGAAAGATAAAGATGTCCCTCCTTGCACTGAAGGTCAATCCATCCACCTGTGCTTTGACCCTGTCCTTTCATGTCCTCAAGAACCTCCCTCATTATCTGTGATGGCGTCTCCAAAGAGCCTGCATGTGCCACCTAGGTCCACTTCAAGAAAGGACTTGTCCCAACTGCTAGAAATCCTACCTTCTGCCATGGCCTCCTTCAGAGCCTGCACACCCTCCCCAGGGCAGCCCATATCCAATAACTGATGGAGGCAGAATATGAAAGCCAGGCCAGTTTGGCCCAGTGCAGGACAACTCACAACTCTGATGGGCCATTTTGGCTCTGGAGTGCCCATGGAGTCAGCCAAGCCTGCATACTGCAAGGGCGGTATTTACCTTACACCATCAAAAGAAATCAAGGATGGATGGTCAAGTGGCTGAATGTAGTCACCCCCCAAAAATATTATGATGCCTTGCTCAGTTCCTGGGCCTGGGACCCAACAATTAGAGAGGTGACCAGGTCCCCTGCACCACCGTGTGCCATAACAACTGCCCCAGCCATTCCCTAAATGACCAACTGAGTGGCTGGCCACACATCAGAGAAAGAGGAAGATGCAAACATTTCAAGGGTTAGAGCTGGAATTGAGATCCGGGGGCCTGAAGTGTCATCACAGTCCCTCTTTCGAGTGGGCAACCATCCATACAGGAACAAAAAATAAATAGAGTCCCAGCCAAAGGTCCACTGGGTCTGTGGACCCATCAGGGGTCATTTCTCTGGTCCTCAAATATATAATTGGGATATATATACCTAGAAATTGGCCCAGCACCCACATTGGATCTGTGGCCTATAGGGTTTAGGAGCTATCATAGTGGAGACAGCCAAATGGAAGCTTCTAAAATTATGGCCCTTCCCCTCAGCCAAGCAAGCAAGTCAAAAACGGTATTGCATCCTGGGGTGAAAATCAGTGCCACTCTTCAGGAGCCAAAGGATGCAGTGGTGGTAGACTTTGTGTCTCTATTTAATTCAGCAGTTAAGTCCTGGAAGATTGCAACTGACTTCCATAAACCCAACCAAGAAGCAATCCCAATTATGGCTGCCATAGCACATGTGGGATCTTTGCTAGAGTGGTGTGATAAGGTCTCAGGTACATGGTATGTGGCCAAGGATGCAGTAAATGCGTTCTTTTCTATCCCAATCAGAAAAGAGGAAGAGAAACAGTTTGCATTCCCGTGAGATGGACAATATTCATTTACAGTTTTGCCCATGATTCTGTCAAATCTCTGCCCTCTGTCTGAAAAGATTGGGACTGTCTGGACATTCCACAGAATATCACATTGGTGCATTTGCCATGGCCACCTCTGTTTTATCAATGCCCCTTCTTCAGTTCATGCTTTTGGCCGTATGGGGGATTTCATAGGAATCGCTTAAGGTTCTTGGATGGGTCAGTGTGTGCGCGCAAGCTACAAATGGATTGACAGTTGCACTGCGGCCTCACTCAGGCAGTGGGTCTGGGTATCCATTTCATGTGGACAGAGCAGTGGCCCAAGGTTGGAGTCTATACAGACTCATGGGCAGTGGGGAATGACCTGGCTGGGCTGGTCAGGGACCTTTGGGGAGAAAGACTGGAAGATAAAAGGGAAGGAGGTCTGGGAAGGCGCATGTGGATGGAGTGTCCATGAAGTGTGAAAATCCTTGTGTCACGTTATCACTCAGCAAACAACATCCACCACAGAAGAGAGATTAAGCAACTACGTAGACAGAATGACTGGGCCAGTTGCTGTTAGTCAGTCTCATCTGCCACTGTCCCAGGATGGGCACGGTGGGCCCATAAACAAAACAGCCATGGTGGCAGAGATCATGTGTGAACCCAACAGCATGGAATTCTGCTCACCAGGGTTGATTTTGCTCCTGCTGCCACCAAACATCCTACCTACCACCAGCAGAGAGCTCAGCTAAGGTTTCAGTATGGTCCTGCTCCTCAAAGAGAACGACCGAGCACGTGGCAGGAATTTGGTGACATTGGGCTCCTTCTACCCAGAGGAGTCAGCAATTTGTTCTTACAGGAATAGAAGCACATTCCAGGTGTGAGTTTGTTTTCCCTGTCCACAGGGCATCAGATAGCGCCCTTCTCCCAGGGCTGCCACGTGGAAGTGGGTGAAGGCCGTGGGATCCATGGCCACATCACATGCTCCGCACCACTCAGACGCTGCTGCCCACTGAGGGCATGGCTGAAGCACCAGCTCAGAGATGGTAACTACAAGGATGGGGAGCCATCCTCCAGGCTCTTGTATGTCCCCTGAATTAAAGTATTTTCTAAGGTGCTGTGTCCCCAGTGAAAAGACCACATGAATCAGGGAACCGAGGAGTGGAAGCAGGAATGGCCGTCACTTCCACAGTCCGCTGAGGAGACTGGGCTTCCCGAACCTGCACCTGTGGACTGCAGGATTAGAAGCCCCATTTCCCAAGGGGAGAACACTTTCACCTGGGACACAGCAAGGGCCCCACTAAGCAATAAGCCATGGCTGCTGCAGGGCACTCTGGGCTCCTTGGTGAGCTGAAAACAGTCACCATCCTGGCAGGGGAGATCCACCCTGTTCATCAGGAGGAGGAGGGCTGTTGACACCCTTTGGGAGGAGCAAGGAAGGTGTTTGGTAACCAGCTGAGCTACTTGGGTGCTGC